ACATGGGATCAAAAAGAGTCGGGCACGACTAAACGACTAAACAACAACAACAGATGTCCAGAGACTCACAAAGGAATAGAGTTACAAGTTCCCTGTATAGTCCACTCCTTTCTCATTAACTGGAACTTAAGGTCTCAATGATACACTCCGAGACATTTGTAGGAGAAAGGATAGAAATGTTTCTTACAGTTGCGAACAGATCAACAGCAAACAACCAACACTGGACATCAACTGAGAAATGAGAGGAAAAATGAAGCACACAGTAGAGTGGCAGAAGTAGGAAGAAATGATTGGTTAGTAACAGATAAATTGACAGTCCCCTTAGCCCAGAAAGTTCCCTTCCAGCCACACCTACTACAGAAATCATGTGAGGTTTTAAAACTCTAACAACTAAGGTATGCATCATCGGAGCCAGATCAGACTTACCACCCCCCAATTCCTCCTGCTGAGCCTATTAAATCTTTTAGTTTTTTGGAGAAATGCAGTTTTCTAGTCCTTTAAGCTACTGTGAGGGTTTTTTTAAAAAGCTTTGCCTTATTTATTTAGTATTGATTGACCTGACTTTGTGTGTCTGCTCGTTACTGCTTTTTATAGACCAAATTATATTGTTTTTATATGACTTCGTAGTCGCATTGGGAGCATTTTGTACCAAACGCATGAGATACCCATTTTGGGACTGGCTGTGCAGTAGGCCTCGGCTTTAGTTGTTGGCCTCTCCAGACAAGCAGTGCTGTGAGAGAAGGTGGGCTGGAACCTTGGACAGCTGCTGACATTTGGGGCAGATGACACTGAGGAAGGTAAGACGGCTGGCTTGACTTGGCCTAAGGCAACACCTACATGAATACATTCGGCACATAGGCTACAAAGAGCTACACTCAAACCTTTCTGCCTGTTAAACGCTGGTTGCACTTTTGACGGTTTTAGAGACAAACTTGACCCCATTTTAATTTTGTATTGCATATTCCTCTTATCTGTCATCATACAATGCACACAGCAAACTGTCTGCAGAGAAAAAAGGTCAATTTTTTTTGACCCAAACCTTAAAGTTGTTCGTTCAGTCGTGTCCGACTCTTCGTGACCCCACGAACCAGAGCACGCCAGGCCCTCCTATCCTCCACTGCCTCCCAGAGTTGTGTCAAATTCATGTTGGTTACTTCGCAGACACTGTCCAGCCATCTCATCCTCTGTCGTCCCCTTCTCCTCTTGACTTCACAGTTTCCCAACATCAAGGTCTTTTCCAAGGAGTCTTCTCATGAGATGACCAAAGTATTCGAGCCTCAGCTTCAGGATCTGTCTTTCCAGTGAGCACTCAGGGTTGAATTCCTTTAGAATTGATAGGTTTGTTCTCTGTGCAGTCCAGGGGACTCTCAAGAAACCTTAAAGTAGGGGTAGCTGATCTCCTGTAGTCCAGAGGCTTCACGTGCCTATTGCTGGCCCTTTGAGATCTATGCCTTCTCTCCTAACCCTCACCCTGTTTACATTAATAGCGGGTTTTTTTTTGTCTCTTAAAACCTCCTGTATTGTCAAGTGTTGTTTTTTTGTTTTTGTTTAGCATCTTGGCAAAAAAAATTTTTTTTTGGACTTATATACCGCCCCATAGCACTACAAGCACTCTCTGGGTGGTTTACAATTTAATTATACAGGCTACACATTGCCCCCCAGCAAGCTGGGTACTCATTTTACCGACCTCGAAGGATAGAAGGCTGAGTCAACCTCGAGCCGGCTACCTGGGATTTGAACCCCAGATCGTGAGCACAGTTTTAGCTGCAGTACAGCATTTTAACCACTGCGCCACGAGGCTCTTTAATTAATGGGGAGTGGGGAAAAGATAAAATATTGGGGCACTAGCGGATTTATTTCTCTGCCCATTTTCATAAGTCAAAATCCACTTCTTTGGCCATCTGCCGGCATAGTATTTAAGAGGGCCTATTGGCTTTTTTTTGGCAAACGAAACTTTTGTGGCCCTGAGGGAGAGAAAAAAAACAGAACAAAGCTCCATCTATGGCCTGGGCTGTGTTAAAAGCCAGGTCACCAGCACCAGTTAAAAAAAAAAAGAAAAGGTAATATTATCCAATGGAAGCCATAATTTCACCGCACATTTTACCCACATCATGGTTAATTACATTTCTCAGCAAAACTGCTAATTAAAAAAAAAATACAATCCTTTAGTATTTATGAGAGAATAAATCCCATTGAGCTCAGTGGGACTTTGGAAAAATAAAAGGTACACAAGTCAAATTTTGATAAAATCCTGGTTGTATTTTAAGATTAGCTTTAGGGCTGTTTCTCAAGGGTCTACCTTGGAGTTCAAACAGGCTGCGTCACACAAGAGACTGGGCACTTCTTGCTGGTGTCCCTCAACCAACTTGTTTTCCCTCTTCTGTACCAGGTTAAATATGAACACTTTCCCCTTCAATGTAGCTTTAACTAAGATTTGTTTATATGAAGGGACAACTGAGTTACTTCAGATATAGTTCCTTTTATCTGCAATGCCCACCAGCGCTAGCCAGAATAATCAAAGGTGAAAGATTACCGAAATTTGTAGCCCAGGAACTTTTGAAATCAGTTTAAATGGAGGTAAATCAATACCTTAAATGCAAGGTTAAGCTCCATTTAATAGGTTAGTGACTTACTCCTGAGTAAGCAAGAAATGCAGCTGAATTCTTAGGTTGCAATCCTATTGCAATCCTTGGGTTCTTCTTAAACAGAAAGGCAGGATCAAAATATTTTGAATAAATAGGAATAAATGTATACCTAAGAATGAGCCAAACAACTCTGTAGGGTTTCCTTCTGAGTACAGATAGACATATGGGCTCAAATCCTATGCACGTTTATTTGGGGGGGGGGTTTGCAGTGCTGGAGGAGACTTGAGAGTTCCCTGGACTGCAAGGAGAACAAATCTATCCATTTTGCAGGAAATCAACCCGGAGTGCTCACTGGAAGGACAGAACCTGAAGCTGAGGCTCCAATACTTTGGCCATCTCATGAGAAGAGAAGATTCCCTGGAAGAGACCCTGATGTTGGGAAAGTGTGAAGGCAAGAGGAGAAGGGGATGACAGAGGAAAAGATGGTTGGACGGTGTCAGCAAAGCGATCAACATGTATTTGACCCAATTCCAGGAGGCAGTGGAAGACAGGAGAGCCTGGCGTGCTCTGGTCCATGGGGTCAAGAAGAGTCAGACGCGACTAAACAACTAAAAAACAACAAAGGGGTTTGCTGTCTTGTACAAAGGGGATCAGTCTGCCTCTGTCAGGAAGCCTTACCACCCTTGTGACTCCCAAGAGATTTTGGACTAGGACTGCCATCATCCTCACAGAGGCTGTAGTGTGGAGAACATTGTTTGGGAAAGACCACAATAGCAGTTTTCTAGGAGGAGAAAAAAATGTGTCACTCCCAACCACGGTTCAAATCGAAGGGCAGCCAGATTTCCAGATGTTTCCAATAGCTAGATGTTGTGCAGATGTGCCCAGAGATGCCCCTCCTATTCTTCTCATCAGGGATTGATTTCTAAAAGGCAGACGATCATGGAGGGAGAGGAAGACAAGGTTCTTGTGCCTTTAACAACTCTATAGACGACGAGCTGAGCCGGCTGAAATGTCTTCTTCCGAGCATTAAAGGTGCGGCTGAAAGCCACAGTGACGCAGTAGACAAGAGTGTCAGGCACTAACTTAGGTGACTTAGATTCAAATCCTCGCTCAGGCATGGAAACTTACTAGATCTCAGATGCCACTTGACTCGGACGGCACATAACTAGCATCTCCATTTTTTCCTTTCCTGTGGCCACCTTCCTCTCGCGCCCCACATGGGGAGCTGCATATCTTTTTTTTTCTTCCCACCGAGGTGGTCCCTATTTATCTACTTGTATTTGCATGCTTTCGAACCGCTAGGTTGGCGGGAGCTGGGACAACCAACAGGCGCTCACTCCGTCGCGTGGATTTGATCTTACGACTGCTGGTCTTTTGACCCTGCAGCACACAAAGGCTTCTGCGGTTTAGCCCGCTGCGCCACCACGTCCCCTTAGGTGACTCAGGTTCAAATCCTCGCTCAGGCATGGAAACTGACTAGATCTCAGATGCCACTTGACTCGGACGGCACATAACTAGCATCTCCATTTTTTCCTTTCCTGTGGCCACCTTCCTCTCGCGCCCCACATGGGGAGCTGCATATCTTTTTTTTTTTGTGGCGCGACCCCTGCAGATTAAAAACTGCATTCTGTGCCCCCTCCGAGGCAGCACCACCATTCGATGCATCTCAAATTCAGATTATTTCGAAATTCATCTCTGAGCAGGTTGGGGATCTGAGCTGCTTCGCCTTTACCCACCCACCCAAGCAAGCCAGCCAACTAGCCAGCCAGCGGCTGCGCGTTTGCTGCGGGTGTTGTAAAGTGTGTGGGGCAGGAGAGGCATAAAAGGAGCCAGTCTCGCTCTCCTCCTAAGTAGCCGCGAAGAAAAGCATTGGGGATCCCGCGGAAGCGAAGGCTTCGGCAGCTCGGCAGTTGCTCCGGGGAACCGCCAGGGGGCGCGCGCGCGAAGGGGGGGGGCAGGCGTTAGGTTCCGCGGCTGCTTAAGCGGTTCATGGCGTTTCCCAGAGAGAAAGCGGGGGAGTGGAGGGCGCGCGAAGCCATGGCTCACGGCAACCCCGTGGTGAGGGCGAAAGGGGGTTATGGTGGTGGGGGGGGGGAGGAGAGAGGAGAGGATAAATCTACCTTTTCAGGGATGTAGGCAGCGAGCTGAAGACCTCCTCCCTGACGGCTTTTCTTCTTTGCCCCCTAAATAACGTTTTGTTGTCTTGCTATGTTGCATAGCTCGCCTGTGGGATTCACAGCCACCAGAAGTGGCCGTGGCTACTGGGTTTGAAAAAACGGTTAGACAAATTAATCGGAATAATCACAGCCTGGAAGGTTGCTTTGGTTCTTACTCGTTATTGTCTTCGAGGGTAAGGCCTCCACTAACAAGCAATGTTGAGAATGTAACTCATCTTATTTCTTGGGCTACATGTTGCTTTTCCGTTACTGTATCAAAAAAAGAGCCTCCTGTAGAGATTGCTAAGACAATGGTGTGCAAATGGAAAAATTTCCTGTCAGAATGGCTCTAAAAATATCTAGAAGCAACTTTGAACGTAATTAGATGTTGCTTATTACGTATGCCCCAATGCTCCTGTGTGTTGCATTTCTTTTGAAAAGTAATTTTGACACACATGCCCCACAACTACTAATAGAGCTACTTCTTACTCCTTCATTTCAAGCCGTGATAGTAAGTCCTTACACTTGGAAGGAAGCATCTTTTCATCAGTTTTGAATGGGACCTCACCAGGCCTACTCTGGCGGTGACTGAATGCTAAAGTTGGAAACAGAGTAGACCCATTGGATTTAGGTGGCCTACTGTAATATATTTTGCTATGTTAAGCAGCAGGATTTCAGACACTGAGTTGCAATTCCTAAATCCTCTAAATTTGGGCAAAGAGCCACATTTTAATTTTGGGTCAAAATAAACCTAGTGCAGGGGTGTGTGTGTTAATCAGGCCTCAGAGATTGTGTGGGACTGCCATTCCCATCATGCAGTTATTGCCCATGCTGGCTGGGGAAGATAACATCTGTAGTTCTACAGCCTTGAGAGAAAGGAGGTAGTCTCAAGTTTGGACACCACTGCTTTAGTAAATTTCCTCCAGCCTAGGGTAGGAAGCAGAGTTACTGAGACGTAAATATGTCAGTTACTCATGGGTATGCCAATGTGTGCTTCATACAGCTTGGTTTTCCCTGAGGCCAGTAAGAGAAAAAAGCTAATAACATGAAAGGCAGTGTGGTGTAGTGGACAGAGTGTCAGATGAAGACATGTTGGAACAGATATTTGCAGAGTGGAGGCTCAGCTGCTTAGTAATTTAGAGAGAGAGAGAGAGAGAAACACCAATGTAAAATTCCCAGGATGCTCAGTCTTGTGCCGAGAATGTCTTCTGTTCTCCGTTAGGATCACAGTCCAGAAAGACATCCTTACTCTTTACCTTTTCTTTTTCACACAGCCTAAATTCTACAAATCAGTTATTGATGATGTCATTGAAGGGGTCCGGGATATCTTCATAGAAGAAGGAGTGGATGAACTGGTCCTGAAAGAGCTGAAGCGGGTTTGTTGAATCATTTTAACAACACAGGTTTCCCCCACTCTCTCATTTTTGCAATTCACCACACCAAAGCGAGAATGAGTCGGTCCACCTCCTGTATCCTTCCAAGTATCCTTGCCCCATTTCTGTTGACTAACAATCCAGTCCTGTTTAGTAGCTGTCAGCACCCCTCTGTGTTGCGGGGTGGATTGTGAGTTGGAGGGATCCTAGAACCGACTCACACCTGCCTCAATTCGTTGGTCAGCAACAGTGCCCTAAATGTGAACATTCGGGGTTCTGTTTTTTGCAGCAAATACTGACTTTGATGTCTGGCTTATAGTCCCGTGTTCTGTCTGGCCATTGCCATGTTGCTGAAACCATAACAGATCTGGTGTCAGAATAAGATGTAGTCCTTAGATCGCTAGGTTTCCCATTACTCCCTGAGCAGTGAGAAATCCAGGGGTTGCCTAACAAAGTTTGGTTTCTACAAATAAGGGTCTGACAGAAGGACCAGAAACCTGGTAGTCTTTTCATTCTTAATCTTCATATACCATTAGGAGGTAGTGAATGCAAGCAGGCTCACATTAGCATGGAATCCACCCAGTAATTGTGCATCAGATTCCATGAAAGACACTAAGACTTGTGACCACACAGAGAAATACTGTGGGATTTGCAGTGGATGTTTTTTTAACTGATCACACAACACAAAGGCAAATTCATATCAGGTTTTTTTTTCTCTACCGCTGGCGGCTCCTCCTTTTTTCAAGCTGAAATGATTCAAATAGACTTTCCCCCATGTGATCACTGGTTTTGTTTCCAAAAGGGCCTGTTTGTGTGTGTGACTGTGGGTGATATTCTGATGACGTACTGAGCTGGGAATGATATTTCGGACACTCATCCCCAAGATCTTTTTCTCTGGTCATCCCAAAGTTTTTTTTTAAACGACCAAGTTTAGTGCTAGGTCACCTTATCACTACATTGATATATGTACTAGTTTAGTGCTGTATCACCTCTGTGCAGACCAAAAAAAGAGACAAAAATCAATATGAAAGAGAAGCAACGCCAGCCAGCTACAGTGGTACCTCACTAGACAACAACCCCGCTGTACGACAAAGCTGCATAAAAATGACTTTTTGCGATTGCTACAGCGGTTTGCAAAACAGTCATTCCTATGGGGGAATTCCGCTTAACGATGATTTGGTCTGTGCTTCACGGACCATTTATTTGCAAGATGATGATTTTTTCTGATGATCGTCGGCTTCCTAAAATGGCTGCCCTGTGTTTTCCGGACCCATGCTT